CACAGGACTACACTATAATTTATCAAGCTTAGTAACTGAGCTGTATTTGGGTCTAAAAAATATATGATTTTTCAACCTCACTAATGTCTTATTTTACTGCCTGGAATCTAGCATGAAAAGAAAGAGTTTTCTGTGAAAATACTTTGCAGAGGCTGAATAAACCATTAGGGGGGACATTTTGAGCTTTTAATTAGTTATACACACATCATTGAGCAAAGTAGGTGTATGTAGGCAAGTATTATAAAAAATTTAAGAGGTGGGTGGGCCACCTTGGTTGATTCAATAAATATATTAATATTTCAAAAACAGAAAATATAGGTGGTTCTTATCTTATATTCTAGCTTGTCAATATTGGTAATTTGAGTATCTAATTTGTAAAAAAACTATAGACTGTTTTTGGACATCACAAAGATCTAATTTGTACCAATGCTGCATTCAACATACCACATGACACACAAAAATTAATATTTAGGATTTTCTTAAATATTTACTTTTAAATTAAAAATCAACTAATGTATGTTACTAAAATTTGAATTATAATCTACAATTTGATACCAAACATTTTGACATACATTCATAAAATATTAGTTGAATAAAATTTTGAATGTGAGTTTACAAAAAGAGATGACATGACCTTTGACGTGTAACCATAAGAAGACCCATTTCAGTAGGGTTAAAGAGGCTATCTCAAGCACTTTTATTATGGACACATAGATTGCACAAGCATTACAACACTAAGTGTGTGTTTGTTAGATTAGCATAAAATCCATAATGTCTACTAAAGTTATTGAGATCTATAATTATTTTAGGACATGGTTAACAGAGAGATGCTCACTCTCACACACAAAACTTAAACAATTTATAGCTAAAACTTGTTCAAACAGTAACCATGACATGAAGCCCAGTTTAGCAAAAGCTGGTGCAAATGCTTCAACTTGAAAACCCAAAATTTGATCATTCCTCAGTTATTCTTCATTGAGGTGGAGGTTATGTTCACTCAAAAGTCACAAGAAAGTAGAGAAGGAATTTGCTCATCTTGCAAAAGAAAAGTATCTGTCTCAGATGCTACCAAGAGCCTATAACTTGTACAAACCATCAGGTTCTGAAACACCTTGATATTTTAAGATAATAGGGGCAAGTTTGATTATACTCAAAATGCGACAATATATGTTTCCAAAATGCACTTACTTAAGTGGAAGTGTAAAACACTGTTTATATTTGATAACTTAATTCTCCACGTCAGTGTAAGCCTTGTGGGAAAGGTTACATAATTCTCACTATAGTAAGTGATTTGTATTAATTGTATTGTTTCCTACTACTGAGATGTACAGTGTGGTGGGAAATAAAATATTGCTTAAACAGTTTGAATACATTATTCTGTGTACAAATTGATCATCATAAGGAAGAATTGCATTTACTTTTATTGCTAGTTCTAATATTAATATCTTCTGTCTATTTCACAAAAGTTATCATTGTGATATAACCAGAATTTTCACAAACGATGTGAAATCATAAAAGCTGTATGAGGGAGAAAAAACTTGATTGGGTCTTAGGTTTATATTTTTCATTGTTAACTCTAAGGTTATGGGAGTGTACCCAAGTTGTTTGTCGTGTAACTAACAAAGTAATCATGAGATTAGTCATACTATAACTTTTGATAATATATGCATATCTTCACAAAACTTCACAGGCTATTAGAAATATTAAAAAGCTTTTGTACATTAAAAAAATCAGATTTTTAAATTAAGTATTTAATGAAAGATTTGTTTGTGATTTTGCCTGTGTCGTTTTGCACTTGGAATGTTGACTATCCGATGCAAAGTGATTTTGATTTTATGATTAAAGATACTTTTCCTCGTGTTAAAACTTTAAAATTTCATTTGTGTAATCTCTGAAACCTACTAAACATATGTCAAACGTTTTTCTTTCATTGAGTCTTTACATTTCATCTCTTATTTGTTCTACCATACCAGTATACTTGTCTCTCTGTGCTGCAGATAAGTTACCAAGCTATAGTGAAGAGTTGTAAAGTGGAAAATAAAATGTGTATTTCTGTTAGTACTGACCACTAGGTTCCAAATAACTTCTGTACAAAGTTTCTACTTCTAACCTTTTCCCATCTCTTTCCACTATTTATTTTACTTTTAACATCACTCTTTGAAAGTTGCCAAACCTAAGGCACTAAATTACAGCTTGTGCCATTACTGTTTCTGTGGACCGCAGTGAGCTACTTCCAAAACCAAATAAGCATGCTCAAACAAATAGAATGGTGCCTAGAATGTGTGTAAATGCTTATGATATTACTGTAATCCAATCCCAGAAACTTCAAAACATTACACACACACACACACATATATATATATATATATATATATATATATATATATTATTACTAC